AATTATCTCTCCCTACGCTCGATTCATTTCGATCTAACTAGCTAACTCGTAATCCTTCCTGCTCTCCGTTCGAAATCGTCATTCGTTGGACGAAGAACCGTTAGCGCTCTTTGGAAACGCGGGGACGACAAGTGACGAGAACTGACAATGACTCGCGGCGTTAATCAAGGGAGAAACGTTGAGGAGAGAAGCGAGGTCGCGTTCAGCTGACGTCTAACTCAAGTCAAGGATAGGAGAGGAGAGGAAATTAGTGTTCGTTCGTGGCCGCGCGTCCCCGTGGTATGCGAGGTACTTTCAAGGGATGTACTCGCTCTCTCGAGAGGGCGTCTTAGCGTTATTGGTTTTACCCCTCGAGACGCCCACGGATGAGGAGAAGGAGGAGGAGGAGGGTGGGAGAGGTGGTTGTTCCTTAAATGGAAACGGCGAGAGAGCGAGAAGTGGGCTTCCTGAATACCTCTTTCCTGCCACCGACAACGAGACTACTTCGCTTAAGTAATTAGACTGCCGACCGTTCGTTACCTCGCTCATTTCTGAACGGGAGAACGAGAAACTGGCTTAACCTTGTCGCTCTCTTCGAACGTTTGCTTCCAACGTTCGAGGAATTTTTGTATCCGGATAAAGAAAAGCTTCGACGGGAGGCGATTAAAAGTGGGAAATTCTGTGTTGAGATCGTGCATGAATTTCTATGATATATATTTTCACTAGATAGAGAGAGAGAGAGAGTCCATCATCATCTGTCGTTTTAAAAAAGGATTAATTATAGGGAAAGTAAATGATCCATCCGGTCATCTTCACGCTAGAATATCTGGAATATCTACTAATAAGCATCATCCTTGGTAGGGTAATTCGTGGAGATTTGTATAAAATGCAATAGGAAAGAGTTCGGTTAATTATAATTCTTTATTCGAGCCGATGTAATTTTTCCAGTTCGATCAAGCGAGACACAGTAGCGTTTAGACGAAATTGAAACTCTCGCGTTGTATATATATACATATATATAGTTTTTCGCCTGGAACAATCAGTCGTTCCGCATGATTATCATCCCAGATTGCATCTCCTCGCCCCGCCCATACGAATAATAAAAGTCCTCGCTTTCTCGTGTGTATACGTGCGTGCAAGGTGTATAATCATTACGATATTTACGACGAGTTATTAACGTCGAATGGAAGCGTACTTGTATTCCGTTTCGATGAGCACGCCTATCCAATCGCCGTTTTGTTCCATTGTCTTCGCAGCTTCCGATCGATAAATCGTAATTCGAAAATGAAAGAAATTTTTAGAAAAAAAAAAAAAAAAAAAAAAAAAAAAAAGAAAAAAAGAAAAATTCGACGACTATGTTCGTCATTTTATCCCAGTTAACATACCGTTAATCGGCGAGACGAAAACGAGGAATAATTAGCACACGTGAAAAAATAATTTGTTGCCTCTTGCCGAGATACCGATTAATATTTCGGGCCATAACGACGCGTCGCAGCGAGGTCTGGAGTGTAACAACAATAAGGCGGTTGATTTACGATCGTGTTGTCTCTGTTAACTGCGCATGACCAGTGGTGGAGAGTACCGTGAAAGACTTCTAGCGAGTCTTCGCCGGGGACGAGAAGAAGAAGACGCGAGAGGAAATCGTGTAGAGAAATATTGGTGGACCAACTATATTCCACTCGTCTCGCGCGGACATTTATTTGGCACGGTGAAAAAGGCCTCCTCCCTTGAACGAACCTCTCTTATTATGGCAGCAGTTGTACACGAATGGGAAAAGCAGTTAAGACCGACTAGACAATAAAAGTTGTCGTAAAGTTTGTCACTAAGCGCGCGCCCATCGTGCCGCCGGTTCGTTAATTCCTCAGATTTATTGGCGCGTAAACTTGTTGAATCAATGTTCTTCGCGGCCACGGAGGACCATTATGAATCGTTACGTAAGAATAATTTTTTTATAACTTTATGTACCCTCTACGGGGAAGAAGTTTTTTAACCCGAAGCAAGTTTAGAAAGGGTTTAGAAGGATACGGTAGTCGACGCACGGTTCTAACGGAAAGTTTGAACTCTTGGCGAGATGTTTCATCGAGGCCTGATGATACACGCGATCGCTCGAAATGTCTATCTCTTTAGAAATAATTCAAGATCTCTCGAACTTTGCCTTCTCTTTTCTCTCGCTTCTCTTCGAAATACAAAGGAAAAGTTTCGAACGTTACGAATAAAGGATTGCAATATTAATTTTCAATTGCTTTGGGGGGCAATGAGACACCCTTCTATTTAACACTTTCTCTTATATTATCAGAAGAGATAAAAAAATATTCGTAAACTAAATGATCTTAACGCGTCAATGTTTTTGCGAGTTACTGCGTTCCTCTTACCGCGGCAATATTATAATTCTCCCGACATTTCGACAGATATCAGCTGACAATAGGAACGTACCGTGTTGCAGGTCCGCGCACGAGAAGGGTGAAGAGGTCGGATGGCCGTGGCAATGGCGGCACCCCCGAGGAGAAACGTCCGAGGACGGCATTTAGCGGCGAACAACTGGCAAGGCTGAAGAGGGAGTTCGCGGAGAATCGATACCTGACCGAGCGAAGGAGGCAGCAGCTCTCGAGGGATCTGGGCCTGAACGAGGCGCAAATCAAGATCTGGTTTCAGAACAAGAGGGCGAAGATCAAGAAGGCCAGCGGGCAGAAGAATCCGCTCGCCCTTCAGCTGATGGCCCAGGGTCTTTACAATCATTCGACGGTCCCGTTGACGAAGGAGGAAGAGGAACAAGCGGCGGAACTTCAAGCGAAATGACGGCAATAGGATCGATCGAATGATTGAGTTTAGGGATGGAGATGGGGTAGAGAGAAACTCTTTCGTGATCTCGTGAGAGGGGATGGAACTTTCGACCGGTGGGGGATGAAAATGTGTCTCGATAATAGAAAAACTCGGGGTTTCCAAGGGGTGAAACGAAAGGGGTGAGAGAATGATTGTTAGTCTTAGATAATTTAATAGGTTCCTCCTGTACATTTTTTTTTTTTTTTTTTTTGCGAAGGATCATCATTGATTGTCCGTGACTCCAAAGAGATCGACACGTTTTTCGTTTCATTGAGATTGAGCGATAAATTCTTTCTTTCGATGATTTTTCAGAAATGTTATGGAAAATTTTATCCACGATGAATAAATATAATTCTTACATTTGACAATTATAAATTATATCGAATCATTCGAAGATCAAACAACAATTTTCGGATACAACAATAAGCGGAAATAATTGTCATTCGAAGAAACACGAATGAATTTAACGTCTTCGGAAACTGAAGAATTAAATTGAATTGAATACACGATTCGAATAATTTGTGGAAAAATTCAACGCCACGTTCAAATTTCGCTTTGTCTTCTAGAGCTTCCCATTTAACTTGAGAGAGTTGACGAGTTTCACGAATCGAATGATGGTGATCGTGCTCACGGTGATCGCAACGATAACTATCATTCAACGATCGAATCGATGGTTGAAGCGAGGGAGGAGGAATCAGCACGCACGTTCCTATGAAACGAGTAAAAAGAAATTTCGTATTTAAAAACTGAGCGATGAATAATGAATAATGAAGAATCGCGTCGTTCGTGCGTCGCGATTACACGTGAATCGCGTAAGTCACGGTGAAATGGGTTGTACAGTGCCATTTGTACAGTTTTCTCGCGAACAATAGATCGAAGAAAAAAAATAAACGAGACAGTCGACAGTTCTTTGATAAAAGAACCAGTATTTCGAGGCAGAGAAAATGGAGAAAAATCTTCGCTATGAATGCGTGACAAGAGTGTCTGTGAGAGAGAGAGAGAGAGAGAGAGAAAGGAAGTGTTCGAAGTTAATTTCGTTCCGTTAATTTATTGTAAAAATGTAAGATATTCGTACAATTGCGATGTGCAATAGAAGACGTTATACATACGAAGTATATGTACGAAGAGAAGTAAATAGAAACGACTTATGTATAGGTATATATATATATATATATAAATAAAAGATTGATAAATCGTCGTGTAAATAAAATCGCAAAAACTTAGCGAGAACGTCATCTCGATAGACTGTTTAAAAATAACTTAGTTATTTATTTACCTATGCTAATACGGAAGGCTCGATACAATATCGGGCGCTTATACCTTGTAAGAATTATTTAAAGATCAAATTAAATATTCCCACTATCATGAGCCACGTATCGACGTGTTTACTATGTTCTATCTTTAATATCCATCCTGCTCCTTTGGACCAGATAATTCGTCGCCTATATATAGTTCGTCCACCGATCGAGATAAATCTTTTTCAAACATTCGCGCAAAGACACCGACGATGCTGCTGTCTGATAAACAGTCGATACCGAATTATCCAAGTAATTAACGCGCTTCCGTTCTTCGAGCCCAGATACGATACCTTTTTCTTTTTTCCTATAAAATCGAACTTACTCGAGATATATACATTTGGAATTTGATTATAGATACGCAAGAAGTCTGTTCAATCGACAGATTAACAAGAATTGTATTTCTATCGATATATGATTTCAAGAAATACGTATACACGTATATATTCAAAATATTAAAGTTTTCCAATCCCATCAAAGGATCATATCATAGAATAATCATCAAGTTGCAAGGACGTAACGAGTGCAAAAAGAAAGGAAAGAAAAGACAGAATAAAGTAGCGCAACAATTGAAACGATTAAAAGATGTCGAGAGAGGGAAGAAGAGACAAGATGATCTCGGGAGCATTAACGCGGTCGAGCGATCGATAGCCGTGAAAGCGGTACTAGACGCGTGCTAATTAACACCGGGAAGGGAATCAATCGAGGCAGATGTTTATCGAAATCCATCGGCGCGGCCGTGGCGGGAGGGAAGGCGAGGGAGGAGGAGGAGGACAGTGGCGAGAGGCGATCGGTGTCGGGATAAAAGGTTTCGGGGCGGGTCGATTCGCATTCAGCATTTGGCGCATGCTTCCACCCCCGAGCCGTATTTCAGGCCCGTGCAAACCCCGTGAAAAGCCCCTCCTGCCGGCGTGATATCGATTGATTTACAGTCGAAAGGTGGCCATCGTTGATATCAAACCAGCCACGCCTACGTTTATACCCGTGGATACGCGATACGCGTGCGTGTATATATGTGTGTGCGTTGCACGGTGAGTGGTGTCGGTTAACGCACTTTATACATCATTTAACATTCGCCAACGTTATTTCAATCCCTCCCTCCACCCCCTTTATTTCGTCTCTCGCACGAATCGTTCGGTATATCGGCCGAAATGGTTACGCACGAAGGTGAATAATTTGCGCCGCTCGTTTACGATCGGTAGAAAATTGGAAATTTCTTTGAAAAGAGGTTGATCGATTTGAAAGAGGAGGAAACGTCGAAATTATGTGGAAGTCAAAACGGCCTTTGTCAGGGGTAGGGAGTGGAAAGATGGAAGATAGAGTTCGTCGGGAATAAATAATTTGATGGTGGAAACCGGCGTCCCCCGATTTTTCTCTTTCGACAACGGACCGCTCGGCCGTTGTCTTTGCCCCCGAAGATGGTCCAGGGACCGGATGCGCTTTTGGAGAGGGATACCTGGTAAGTAATAGACGACATTAGAGTACAAGCTACGTTAGGATCCTCGCGATGAGTAATAAGGGCCGATTATTTTTTATTTTACAAAAGCTGCTGTTTCGAGGACGGACGGAAGTTGGTTACCTGAACCTGAGTCCCCGCGATATTTCATTCCCTACGAAATCAACACCATTGATTCCTTTCAATTCCATTGTTTAAATTTTAAATTCTAAAAAGAAAAAAAACATTCCGGTCGCTTGCTGCGTTGCTAACGCTTGCCACAACCGAACCCTGGCTAGCGAATAAAAATATACGAGCGATAAGAGAATTCGTGCAAAATCTTTCCTTCGCATAAAAGACAAATAAGGCCACCCGTAATGCGATTCGGTGGAAAATGATCGAAATACCCTCATCTCCGAAACGCATCGTCGATTAATCGGGATCGAGGAGAGTGAAGGAGCGGGGACCGATACGTCCCTGTCAGATTAGAATCGGGCCACTTGACAGACTCGCGCTTCTGTCTGTCCAGAATGCGTAGCCGGGGGATCCGGTGGTGGAGATTGGTGGTGGCTCGGGTCAAGCGCCGCGCAGGAGGCTTACGTACAAACGATTCTTCGTTCTCCTCCTTTGTCCCGGAATCTTTACAAATGAGATACAAGCGGGGAGAAAAGTGGAAGGCGCGTGAGAAGGCAGCGCAAACATTAACCCTGTCGACCGACCCTGTGTTCGACATTCCTGTGCCCGACCTGTGCGCTTTTTTTCTCCAACAACGGATAAGGATAACCAGAAGAGTTCGAGCTCGAAATTATGCATCCGTCTCGGGGATCGTACAACGATGATCCGTTAACGTATACGCTTTTTGGAATAGCCGATGGAACGGACTAGATATCGATCGTAGATGGCCGGATATCATCGATTGGATGATGCTCGTTTTAAACACATGCGACACGAATAATCGCTCGGGATCCGTTTTCGTTCGGGACAGATCTGATCCCCGCACGACACGTTTTGTTTCGTCATCCGTTTTCTTTATGCATGCGACAAGCTGCATATTACCTGGCTCCGTTTCGAAAAGGACGGCATACAAATTCGTCGGGGGGGATTATCGGCCCAGCCTCTGTTTACATACGAGGTCAACTCGGTGGAACGAGGTGATCCAGAGGCGGGTTGTTCTATCGGTCCTATCTCGCGCCATAAATCGAGGGGAAATCGCGCGTGGCCCACGGAACTCAATAAAGTAACGCGGAAGGGAATTATTGAGCTCGGTAATCAGCCGTAAATAACGCGGTAGAATTATTCTCGTGCGCGCAACGAACGATAAGCACCGATGGAGAAGGAAAGAAAAAGTGAAAATAGTTTATAGATAAGGGGACGCTCGCTATCAATCGACGTTGCACTTACCGCGCTTGCATACCTCTCGTCGCGTTCTTGGCGTACCATCGATATATATCCGGATCGTATCTCAACCGAGTGATTTTTCACGACGTTCTATCTCGCTTATTCTGCCGTTTCGTTTTTCTCCTTTGTCCCTCCCCTCCCCCTTTGCCAGTGTTTCATGTTCACGGCCGTTCCTTTTGCTTTTATCCCCGTGAAAGTTTCGATTTTACAAAGATCTTTCTCGATATTTATACCGATCTCTTTATTTTTTTCTTTGCGCGTGCATTTTCAATTTAATACTTTTTTTAATTTGTATCTCGAAAATTCTCGAAAGGAGAGGCATCGGACAGGCCGATGATCAGGTATGGAGGATTAAGAGGAGGATAATAATTCGTAGCGACCGTGAGAGATCGGTAGACCGAGATCTTCAAGGATGATCGTCGTTAGTGAACGGGGCATTAGTCGTACGGTAGCCGATGCCGATGGATACGCTCCACCGTCAGTGGGGAGCCAACGTGGAAAGCAGCGTCGGGAGATCTGATGGTGACGGGTATTAAAATTAATGGTCAGCCGTGTACGCTGACGTGTCACTTTATACCTCCATGCGTCATTTTGATTGACCAATAAATTATCTCGTGGAAGGTCTCGCGCGTGCTTGGCCATCGCTGTTCTCGCGGTTCTTTGCTCGTTCGAGTAAAAGTCTGACCGTTGTGCAATTTGTTGCTCGTTTCACGCGGTGAAACGAAGGCATACTTGTACGAGCGCGGGGATTCGATAACAATCTCCCATAGAAATTTCGAACGAACGCCTCTCGGTACGAGGAGATGGGCGAGAAGAAAACGTGAAAAATCTGTGATTACACGTTGAAGGATATAAAGATCGAAAGAAAGAACGAGAACGAATTTTCCTCGAAATTTCCATTGCCATCTCGAAACGAAGCGAAAAGATATAAATTGCACATTTGAATCAAATCCGAGTATCATATAGATAAGAGGATCGTGTGGATAAACGACGATAAACGCGATCGATTCGTTCTCCGTTCCATGGATCAGGACTCGCGACGCAAGGAACAGAACCCTCTGTCTCGCGAATTTCCCCGAAACAGGTTGAAACGGGCTTTAATGGCTCAATCCGCGTGTTCCGGCAACTCGATGTGTGGGCCGCCGGGTCGATGGTCCCCTCTGAAATTTTCTTCTGCTCCCGGTCCCCATGGAAGGCGCGTTACCGGCCACCGATGGGACAAAACTCGAGCGCCCTCCCCTCAGTTTTTAGTCGCGCCACAGGCCAAATGACCGGGACGCGGCACTCTCATGCATGAATGCAACGTCAGCTGCCATCCCGGGATATGGCGAACTCTTCATTAACCGTGCAAAGGGTTACGGGGGAGAACGAAAAGTGGTCTTCGGTCGTGGAACGATTGCCCGATCTTTTAATATCGCTACCCGGCTGTAAATCTGAATTTTTAATTGCCACGCAACGCGAACGCACGGGTGACGGAAGCAGATGTATCGAGAGATGCATGTAAGAAATGCTTTCTCTCCCTGCTCGATAAACCCCCCTTCGCCTCTACCGCGATTTGAATTTCAATTATGTACCTTGGAATATATATCGGGGATATACGATGGAGATATACGTTGCGGGATATCGATTTAACGATTTCCGAGAAACTCGTTGGAGGAAGAATCAAGGTGACAACGCGAGGCGACGTTTTCGTATTTCGTCTAAGGGATTTCCTCCTAAGAAATCGGGTCCAATTTATTCCGAACCGTCGTTACCATCGATCGACACGATCCTCAGTGTGAATAGAGAACGGCGGTAAGACGATCTCGGGACTGTCGACGATCCCCTATCCCCGATTCGATGACTTTAACGAAAATTAAGTGAGATAGGTCCGGACGGGCCGATGCTTTTTGACAGCGGCCCAACTCTCCGCGGGAATCATAGGATCGGTCGACCGATATTTAGTTTCCTAGTGTCATGTCCACCTTTACGCGTCCGCGCCTCCGGACAAGCCCGAACTCCAAACATGTCTGCCCGCGGACACTCTCGCGCGTCACAGCTCTATTCGACGATCGGAACCAGTTTTAAAAGCTAAGACGCGCCGAGTTTTATGGATTATAAAGAGGTCGGCCGGGAGAAATTATGGCGAGGAGTCGTTTTGTTTCCAAGAATCTCGATTTCCTTCCAAGTATCGTGTCTCTCGTCAACGCCAACTTTGAAATTGGAGTAGAGTTGATCTTTGTAAATCGCCCTAATTAAAATTCAGACTATTAATTCAATTGATACGTAATATCGAAGTGTACTTACGACAGTACTATAAAAGTGTTCCAATTTTTTTCTAACTAATCTGATTTATAAAGACTCTATTCAATATTCAAAATTGAAGAAATCTAGAAAGAGAAGCATCACATTAAAGTACCACAAAATTGCTTCAATTTTCGAAAATTTCTCAAAAAAAAAAAAAAAGAAGAAGAAGACTAGTGCTTTTTGAACTCGTATAAATTTTTTCTTCGAGACCGAAAAAGATTGCACGAACTAAATCGATCCTACTAACAAACCGTAAGATTAGCCAACTACTCGTGATCTTGATAGAAATCTGGTTGCGCAAAAATTCGCGTCAGATCGAGAAGCGACAAGGAACGAGGAGGAATTCCCGAATTCGTGGTAGCCTATAGGTGGATGAGTCACCACCTTCGGGATCAGGCGAAGAAGGTAAAGAGCCGCGGCGAGCACGAGGGGAGAAACAAGAGAAAAACGAACACGAGAGAAGCTGAAGAGAACCTCCAAGTGGTGGGGACATCGTGGTAGAGTGGTGGTACCGGGTGGAAAGAGTGGAAAGGGAGAGGTGGGATTCGAACCCCGGGACCACACACGACGCTCCACGCGTCTGCGACTCGGTTACATTGCTTAATTGTAAACGGCCCAGTGGTTCTCATGATCGAACTCTTTCCTCTGTTTACATTTCAAGTGTTTCTCCGATTATTTGATCGAGAAAATGGAATTTTTAATTTCTTCTCAACGTACGTTCCTACGTACACGCCATTTTTCTAAACGTTCAATAATTTTCACGATTGGAATTATAATTTTATGCTAAAAGAAATCATAATTTGTAATATTAAAGGGAGGAAGATAAATTATTATCGATACAGTACAATGATATTCGATAGATTAATGAAGAAATTTTAATTGATCGAGAGAAAAAAATCACATGTCAATGTCGATACACCGTGTTTATTAATTGATATTGGGAGGCAGGTGTTTATGAAGATTTTAATTATATTTGGTCGGAAAGAATTCGAGAAGAAGTCAACGTCAAAAATATTCGAGACAATGATTACGAACAAGAGTTCAGAAGTCTGATTTCTTATCTGCGACATCGTTAATGCCATCGATTGTTCCCTTGCGGCGGTTCCAACTAATTAAAACCAGAATCTCATCGAGCTTCTTCGCTCTCCTCTTTTACCTCGTGGCTTCCGCCGCTCGTGTTGTGACCTCTCCCTTTCCTCTACTTTTCGGCATTCCTCAAACGTTATCCCATCTTTCTTTCTTGGATGTCTAGTGTTCGCTTAATAGGCTTACATAACGCTACCGAAAAAGGTCTCGACAAGATTGATTTTACTTTAATACTTGCACGGAATGAAGTATTTATCTAACAACAGCTAACGTATCATTTAAACAATTTAAGCAATAATATTTATATATGTCGAATAAAATTATTTCAATTAGACGATAGGACGATAAACAGATTAAATTTTTGTTAAAATAGCTTTGAAGACAAAATATGCTAAAATATGAGGCATAACTTTACACTTAACTGAATACATATGTAAAATGTTTTTGTAAATGGGAAAGAAAGAACAAACGACAAAGAGAACTTCTTTAAATCCTTATGCTTTCGTAATATCATTAACCTGAGATACCTTTCAAATCCCGTCCAGGGATTCAGTTAACGACTCTCGAGTGACTTTTGACTTTTTTATTAAACGTTTGATACATTTGAGCATAGAAAACATTAGATAGATACGATATTTTATTCGATTCTTAAAGTCGAAATCAAATTGAATTCGCGTAATGTAAGAAAAATGTCATAGAATCCATGACGACAAAGTTACATTTATAATGGTATAAATGTAGTAAAAGATTTACTTTTATAATTGAACTATTATTGATATATAAATACGTATATATATTTTTTCTTTGAATAAAGTGTGTTACGTTTGATAGAAACAAGAAATAATTCAATAAATTATTCATTATTCATTTCTTTAATAGTAGCGTCACGAGGTTATGTCGAAAATTTAACATAAATAATCATTTGATTATGAAACTCTTACCTGTATGATTGATGTGATCGTAGATTTTGATGAATTATTTTCGTATTAAGCACCAAAACTCGGAACAACTTTCTTAATTCACGATAACTAATTAACCGATTAAAGTTTCGAACTCGTTAAACACTTTCGCACAATAAATTTCCTCCATGTTTGCTGATTAATATTCTGCGCATCCTTCTGCGCAATTAGAACCTTGACTTCGCGCCTAAAATGCGCGTCTAGTTGCGTCGTGTATAGATGTCGCATTAATTTCACATAGAAAACATGTCTTTACGATTCTGCGCATACTTCCGCGCATTCTTGTGCGCAATAAAGGACAATAAAATAATATTCTACGCATTCTTTTGCGCATGAAGAAGGTCGAATTCGCGCCTAAAATGAGGTCTAGTCGTGACGTGTGCAAACATCAGTGTGTTCATTTACATATTTTGAATTATTTTATATTTATTATCATTATACTTATAATTATAGATCTATATTTGTGCTTATTATTACTATATATATATATTTTATACTATATACCTCATCAATCGAATGATACGAGGCATATTGTATCGCATTCAATTAGTGGAGCAATCGGAACATGGGAAAAAATTGTGTAATAAGCAAGTTCGGTGAAAGTGTAAAGACGAGCTGTTAAATCGAGGAAAACTACAACCTGAAGGCCAACACTACCCATGGATTATGGATTCGTCATGCAGCCAACGGTGAGTACTGTTTTATAACCTACTGTTTACTGTTTACAATTTTCTTGACGACTTTACGAGGTAAATACCCGTCGAAGGGGTCAGAAAACGAAGGTAGTAAATATGGCCGTGCGTGCATTTTCACGTACTTTCGGTATAATTATAGCAACGTTTCGCTTTCGTTTTTAACTCTTCGCAAGTTTACGATGGCTTTTGATGTGAAATTTCGAAAAAATTTCGAAAAATATTCAATATTATTCGGTCGATTGAACAATTTCTTTTCATATCGTGGCATATTTGATATATATATATACTATACGAATATACACTATATGAATAAATTTCTATCATATCATCTTTTCATTTCTACCTTCGATTTCTTTGTAAAAAAATTTTTAATCATATGCTGTGTTCGTTTCTCGTCATATAATAATCATTTATTTATCGATATTTCCTCACGATAATATCCGAATAATCGAATTTTGAAGTAGTTTATCATTTTTAAGAGCATATAGGTGTAGACATTAGTTGCAATAAATTTCCCATAGTGCCTTGCGATTTAGAAGTTCTATATATATAGATATATATGCGTGTAGGCATTAATTGCAATAAATTTCCCATAGTGCCTTGCGATTTAAAAGTTTTATATATATAGATATATATACGTGTAGGCATTAGTTGCAATAAATTTCCCATAGTGCCTTGCGATTTAAAAGTTTTATATATATAGATATATATACGTGTAGGCATTAGTTGCAATAAATTTCCCATAGTGCCTTGCGATTTAAAAGTTTTATATATATAGATATATATACGTGTAGGCATTAGTTGCAATAAATTTCCCATAGTGCCTTGCGATTTAAAAGTTTTATATATATAGATATATATACGTGTAGACATTAGTTGCAATAAATTTCCCATAGTGCCTTGCGATTTAAAAGTTCTATACATATAGATATACATATATAGATATATATATCTATATCTTTTAAATCTTATTTTATTTTTATATCACAATGCTATTATATTTTTTATTATATCATTATAGTATATCATTAAGTATTTAAATAATTTATTTATAATAATAATTACAAATCTTTAACTATATTAAGAAAAAATAACGAATTATTATATCTTTCCTCATAAAAATTTAAAGATAGGAATAATTTAAGTAGATAGTTTAGATCAAATTTCATTAAAAACACTTCACATCTTTAATTCCAATTCCAAAAAAATACTCTGAAAATAAAATTCTCAATACTTTCACAGTTTTATCCTCGTATCGAAAACGATTCAAATCGACGTAAATCCCTTTGTTGTCATAGCAATGATCCTAACATCATACAATATCACCCAACACTCACATTGTTACAATCCACAATACTCTCTATGTACCTACGTATCCTCATAAACCTAAACTATCTCTAACAAGATCACTCTGACTATGAACCCGGTTCGGTGAAACGAGAGACGTGGGCGCCGGCGCCCTGGTCGTCAGGTTTCGTCGACGTAGATTCGTCGGGTGTGGGATCGACGAGGGCGTATCGAGGCCGGCGCGGTCTTGATATCAGCCAGGGCGAATGTCTTCGGGGTGGCTAGTAGGTCGCGTGTGACGGGAGGGCCACCCATGTAGCCGTTGTTCGCTCGCATCTATCATGGAGCCACCTTCTTTTCTCGGCAGCTTAAGCCCCAATAAAAGCCCCCGGTTCGGCCTGTGTCTCCGGATCGAGCAAAAAATCGGCCATTACCTCGCGATTTCTCGACCGGAGCCCCCCGATGGATCCAACTTACTCGGGGACCTATCCGTTTCGATTCGCCCGCCGCGATTCGCCTCTCTCCTAATATTTGGCCGACGATTTTTCTTCTAACGTTTATCGTGCTTCCCGTTCTTCCGCGTCCCTCCCAACGTTCCTCTCAAATCCTCGCGCGTTGCCCGCAATGATCCTTGATTTCAATCCCACTTGATATCACGTATCTAGTTTTTTGTGATTTAAATCTTCGATGGGTCATTAGGCGTCTATTTAAAAGGATAATATAGTGTATATTCCCAGTTTTAGCATGATGAAACCAGATACTCGTTTAACGACGGTACTAATAGAGCAAAAGATAATCGTTACCGAGTAGCAATAAAAAAAGAGCTACACACGAGTCTTGTCCTTGGAGAGTTAATCGTTCGTGCACAGAAGATTCGTAATTACCCGCGTATTACGTATGGGACTCAAGGTAAACTGACGTTACATACGGTTTCGTACGGTTCTCGGCCGGCTTTGAGACCACGATCCCCCTCGAGATCGCGGATTAACGATGCACGCTAATCGCGAGCAGGTGTTTCCATCGTGGATACTTAGAAGTCCAATGCATACCGCGGATCGCTTCGAAAAAGGAATCGTCGCGCTTTTTGCCCTCGTGGTGATCGTTACACTAGCGATATCGTTTCCGTTGGTGTCGAGATCGAACGGTAGCATCGGGGTTAATTAGCGCGATTCGCGGCACACATGAACGAGATCGTGCGCGCGCACACACACACACACACACACACACACGGTCGAGTGGAGGAGAACACTCGTTAACCCAGATTTTCCCGATATACTATATATAGAATGTCCCCGTGAAATGATTATTTCGATCGAGAATTGCGAGTTCACGCTTCGATTTCTCGCCGACTACGACGATGGCTTTCATCCAATCGCTTTAATTTCACGACGAGACGAAATAGATCGTCGTGCTTTTTATCTTTGAAATTGAAACGATTCGAAGTACATCACTTTTCTTCTTCGATTCGCAATCATTTACGGAATTTTTTCGCTCGAATCGTCGGAAACATCATCGCTACCGTATAACGGAATATTATTGGCAGAGATTAAGCCATAACGCGCACGAGAGAAACACAATCAAACAATTGAGCTTACCTTCACTATTATCCATCATTGTGCCGATAATCTTCGATTCAGAATTCAATCAGAGGGAAAATTACTCGAAATGAAAGATATTCAATAGAACGTGGACAAGCATCTTTCCCATCTATCAAGATCGATCAAACCTTCGAGATTCGCGAATCCTCCTCAACCATTCTCTACCCAACAATCGTAACAACGTGTTCCACAAGTTGCATCGAAGCTTGGCATCCCGAATGCATCCCTCTGAACGTTCAAGTCCGTCGATTGCAATCTATCGATACCGGTAATCGATTCCACATAGTAGCCTGTATCTGGGCCCTGTAGTTGCGCGCCAGATCGTCCTATCGTCCGTTCCTCTGTTCATCGCTTAATTATTACGGGCGTGCACATAGTACACGACCGCGATAGCGCATAACCGGCGATTTGCGCCGCCGGAATTTATCACCTCCGTAATTGGCAATCGTTTATCCGCGCAGAACCAGTACCACCGGGCATCGGTATCCGCGGATTATCATCAAACGCTGTGCACGTCCGACTCCAATCGACCGCCCTCTGAGGATACCTACAATTCGAATCGTTAACTCGCCGACCATTTACATTTTCAATTACCCTTCTTCTTCTAATGTAAAATTCGCAAAATCTGTCCCATCGAAAACGATTATCCTCCTCGTCGAATCGTTTCTATTTTTCGCGGAAAAGTGATGAAAATATGGCGTTACAAATCGTCAAGGATTTAGGATCGAGATGTTATACAGTTTTAAGATTCAGCTTGAACTTCAAATCAGAGGATTCGATGCGATAATTCTGATTCATCATCTCGATAGAGCGAAGCGATATCGGATTCCACGAATACTGAATTAGATTCTTCGATAGTGGATGGAAGTTCTGTGAAATTATCTCGGGATTGAGACCCGTTCCACGATGGGATAGCGCATTTCGCAAAATCCTCGACTTTCCGGACGACCACAGCTATTAATTCGTTCGAAGCGAGCAGGAAACTTTGCTCTTCGACAAAGATGATGCGTCAAGGCGCATCATTCTTCCCACGATTCATTTTACGATGCTCGATTTGACCGGTCGACATTCATGAGAATTTATTAACGCCCATTTTCTGTTTAATTATCCGACATGGATTGCCAAGGCGTTCCTGAGAAGCCGACTCTCCTCCGAGTCTTCAACATCGTTAAAGTTATCGGAAACCACGCGGACGGAAACCTCGCGTTTAACGCAGTAACGTCTTATTCGCCCCGATTATCGATTGGCGAACGAAACCGCGAGAAGATTTGATTAGATTTCATTCTCGATTTGATCGGTTCGAGCTTTCCACGAGTTCGTTTCGACCTTCAACTTTGGCCCAGAGGAACGGAATATCGTACCAATATTCATTTCTTTCTTTCGTTCACGAGTTCTCAAGATATTATCACGTCGACGATTATTTTCGCATCGTTTATTCGACGAACTTTTACGCGATAGTTATATTTCTTGAAATGACGGATTCGCGAGTCGAATAAACAGATCTCAGCGTGTTTCCATTTATGGCCTTCGTTAACGTTTTGCGGATCTCACGCATATCCTCTTCAATCCCAAACACGTAAACGTTCTTAAGATAACGTT